CCCCCCCCACCCCCCCCCCCCCCCCCCCCCCCACCCCCCCCCCCCCCCCCCTTCCTCCTCCTCCTGTCATCTCTGTTTCCAGGCGATCACCACAGAGACACCACCGAAAACACCTGAGGGCTGACAGCCGCCAAAATGAAGCATTTTCTCAGGTAAACAGCCTCCATTGTTGCACTGATGCAGGCGGGGCTTCATTTACATTATTATTATTGATGTGTCCAAACGTGAAGGAATTCATTGTGAACGACACCCCCCCCCCCTGTTCTCTTGTGTTTATCTTCGACCTGCTGTAATGACTTGTTTATACCAAATACTGTAGTGGACATTGTATTCCCAGCTCTCCCACTGAAGCGCTTCACCATCGATTATGATATTGTGTGTCCAGTAAGTGGCTGTTGTGGTGTAAATGGGTTTGAGTGGGTCGCTTAGAGAGGAGGCCTCTTAATTATGGAGCACATGTAAACCAAATGCTCTCCTCTGGTGTTTCTATTACCACTATCCTCTGTGTATTTCTGCATGTTGAATATATTTATCTGCATTTAAAACGCAGAAAATTAATTGGCTTATGATTGCAGTCTTCATTTAAATAGCATTGAGGCAACTGCTTCATTAATGAGCTTTGTTATTGGTTATACATCATGCATTTGTAATGTTTTTATTTTCATACAAATTTATACATATATTTGCATAAATACAATACTGTGACAGTCTTAGCACCTTTCAGCAACAAGGCAATTCAAAAGTATAAAAAGGCAAAAAAAAAAAAAAGGCAGCAAGACGTGATATAAAAGAAACAAAACAATGTAAAAAGACACACAAAGAGGACTTAAAAAGAGTAAAATAAAACATTAGTTGGAAATAAGATAAAATGGAATAAAACAGGAGACTAAAAGTTAGAACAAAAGTTAGTGGATTTTAATGAATTACAAATTTAATCAAATTAAAGGCAGTGGCAAACAGAAAAGTTTGAAATCTTGATTTAAAGAAAAAAAAACAACTGGAGAAGATGTCATGCTTTCTGGATGTGTGATGAAACTGAATTTCTTCAGACCTGATGTTAGAGCTCTGGTTCATAACATAGCAGCAGATCAGACATTTTGAAACCAAACCCCCACAAATTCTCAGCTTTTCATTTTCTACTTGTATGTTAATTTCAGAAATCAACATATCATTGGAAAAATATTTATCATGTCACTGTACAGTGGCCAGTGACAGGCAATAACAATATACATTATAGGTGCTTTCTCACACTAGTGCTGCTCTAAGGTTTCCTCCCAATTCAGACTGCATTTCCCATAAATCCCATTGTTTCCTGCCCCCTGTTTCTCCTCCTGCTGTTTGTCGTGCGACTTCAGAGAGTAAATCTGTTGGAATCTGTTTTTCAGGTCACGTTTTTCTGCCTTTGCTCTGGTCTCAAAGATATTTAGCTTCATTTACTTTTAATGAACAATGGAGGCCAGTAGAGGCTGCCAAATAGTTTCTGCTGATGACTGTGTTTGTTTACAGTAATTATACTAATGTGCTAAAATGAATGTGGTAATAGTTCACTGATGTAAAAATTATTCAAGTAGCAGCTTTAATGGCTTTCGCTGATCATGGGGTTCTCCGGTGATTTAATGCTGCACTTCACATCAGACACAGCTTTAAAAAGTCAAAATCAAAGCAGCAGAGGTTCAGATATCCTAAACTTTACTCTTTGTTTTGGGACTTCAAAAGACTCCCAAATAAGCTGGATCCTACGTTTCCCATAATGCAACCTACAGCACCCTTCCTGTCTGGTAAATGTCCTCGTCTTTCAAACTGGTGAATCAGATGAGCGTATCAACATTTGGTCAGCATCAGAGGACGACCGAAGTGATGTGGACAAAATAGTATTATCATAAGTATTATCAGTAGAAAATACTATTATAAGTCGCATGAGTTGGTTGTTACTACTGATGCATCAGTGTGTGAGAAGTATGTTACAGGTGGTTTAGTCCTGTAGTTCCCAACCTAGGGGTCAGGCCTCTTCAAAGGGTCACCAGATTAATCTGAGGGGTCATCAGATGATTAATGGGAGGAGAGATTTTTTTTCTGTGGACATTTGGATCATTTGAATAGTTACTGAAATGAAACCATGTAGGAAGAGATGAAATATCTCGTTTTTGGAACTGCTAACGACTCAGACATCTGAACCATGACAAGGAGACACAACTACACACTGGTTTTATATGAGACACGATCTTCCTGACGATATCACGAGATTATTTTCTGAGCTCGTCCAGAGCCACAGAAGATATTATAGTGTTGTCACAGACTGAGCAGCACTTTCCCACATTCTCTGTGTATCAAACCTGTGAATCCCCCCCCCCCCCCCCCCCCCCCCCCCCCCCCCTTCACTTGGTGCTCACTTTCTTGAAGGTTAAGAAAATGACAGAGTGTCTATATGAGCTGTTTAACATGCCAGTCTCATCCACGGGCTCAGAAGGGAGGAATTAATTCTTCGGGACTGTGCTGGTGATCACTTACCTCCTTTTTGTTGACAAGCAAGATGAGGTTTTGTATCAGAAGGATTTATTTCTGCCTGAAAAAACTGTTTTTAAACAAACAAAGAGGGGAATAGTTAGTCCGGATGATTAAAGGATGAATGACCTTCCCTGGGTCTTTAGTCTTTTCGTGGATCATAACATCAGATGATAGAATAACATTTTCCTTTCTTGCCTCCAAGTTCAGTGCAGACTGAGAATCCACACTTTTCTTAATGGGTCATTTTGCATTTCCCAAGACTCACATCTCAATTTTCATTCTCAGTGTCACCTGCAAAAATAGCACACTTTGATTTGCTGCAAGTCTCCCCTGGTAGACGAGAAGTGAAGCACAATTTTTCATACTTCTTCTTTTCTTTATACAGTATCTTCTTCCCTGTTCCTCTTTTTGTCCATTAGTGTCATGTCTTCACTTTGTTTCTCTCTCCTCTGTTCGCTCTGTTCTCCAAGTGTGGATATTTGCACTGAACTCTGACGTAGACTCGAACAAACACTTTCTTTTTTGCAAGAAATTTGCAGTTCCAGAGACGGTCTGAAAACGTTGAGATAAGGAGCAAATAATATAACAGTGGGTTAAAACCTAATATTGATTCTAACCTAAATATACATATCCCACGGGTCTTGGTTGCTGTCGAAGAATTTGGGCGCTGTAGTTGTAAAATTATGAGCTGTTAAATGTTGATTTTGATCATTTGAAAATTGTAGACATTTTTCTTCTTTGTGAAAATCGATCAGTCAAAGCTTGTGGACCAGAGACAGAGAGATGATTTACAAAATAGGGAATAAATGTGCTTTTTTTCTTGTGAAACACTGGATAGTTTTTCTCTTCAGGTCTGTTAAAATGACAGAATCAGAGAAAGGAATATCACCTCACTGCATCAACTTAAAACAAAAAAAAAAGGGGTCACGAGTCGACATAGTCTGTTTTTAAAGGGTCACAAATCAAAAACCAGTGTTCTATACTATTGTATATATATATAATATCCATCATCTGTGTCTGTATCCTGTCTGTCTGTTTTTCTGTGAGTCTAATCCCTCCCGTCTTCTCCTCTTCAGAGTGGTGACCCAGTTCTTTGTGTTCCTCTACTGTAAATTACTGTGGCGCGGCCTCAAGTTTGTCGTCAGGAAGTTTACGGGACGCTGTGAGCTGCAGAGGATCTGCTACAACAACAAGCATGGAGCCCGCAGGACCCTCAAGATAGGTAGGCCCAGAGACGCTGCCTGACATTTGAGGTTATTTAGTTAATTCCTGTGTAAACCAGCCATGATTTTATAACAGCTTTACACTGTTGTCATATTGTTAAAATCTATTCGTATCTAATTAGATATGGTTCATTTTTATCATCATGGCTTTAAGTGGAAACTTGGAAATGGGAAAAAAGTTTCATGAAGTATTTAGTGAACGCTTTGATTTCCATCCATCCTTTTTCTATTCACCCTTGATCTTTTCCAAATTCATAATTCATACATTCATAATTAAATTCACCATTTCAACTCAGTATATACATTTTTAATTTCTGCCTTGAACTAAAATGTGTTCTTTGTAGCTTCTAAATAGCTGCTTTACATATTACACACTTACGCTTCGCAACCATTTCCTTCCAGAGTCGTCTCTGCGCTACTCCAAGAATGGGGTAAGACTCTCTGTGAATATGCTTGATATACAGTGAGTCCAATATGATTCAGGTGTGCTGCTCAGTTTTGTAGCTTCAGTCTGTTCCTATCTATTCTCATGTCCTCCCCCTCTGTCTCTGGTCTCTCCAGCTGCTGCAGTCTGCCCTCAGTGTCCATCCTGATAAAGTGGAGAAGACCATTGATGACATCATGGCCTTGAAGAAGATTAACCCTGACACCAACCCACAGTGAGACGCCACATTACACATCACATTTGTGTCACTTTATCACTTGTGTGAGGGTGATGTGGCGAATTAGAGGTTACCACCCGAGTGTCGACACTTAAAATCCTCATACTCGCTGTGAAAGCGTAACTACGGTGAAAAAATAACTGCAGTGGCCGAGCTACAATGAGCAAGGCTCAGACTCACTTATTAAGAGGCTCGGAGTAAAAGCAGCTCGGAGTAAAAGCAGCTCGTACAACGCCGCTGACTGTATCAGTAGATCTGAATGCCCTCCCTTCTCCCTGTGTGTCCCCAGGCTGGGCATCTCTCTGCAGGCCAGCCTGCTGCAGATCGTGGGCTACAGGAGCCTGGTGATGGAGGTGGAGAAGCTGCGCAGGGAGCCTTATGACTGTGAAAATGCTGAGCACGAGGATACGCTGATGAAGGTACACAGCAACTCACTAACACTTAATCAATAATCAGTAATTATCTTCGCTGGTGACCTGTCCGTGGTTCATCCCTCCTCCTGCTCAGTGTATACTGGGAAAGACCTCAACCCTTAAACCCCCACAGCCCTACGACCTTCATTTCATACTGCCATTTATTTGAACTATTGGTCCATTACTTTCAGGTTCAACTGTTTTCTGCTGTTTATCAACTGTCACTTGGTGACATTGTGTCTCCAGACTTATCATCAGCTGACAGCGGCGTTTACAAATCTGTCACATACAAAACATTTGATTTCGAGGAACATCAAATGATGATTTAAACGTGATGAGTAAAACCATCTGACGTCAGTACATTCAATAGACTGAACTCCAAACTCTAATAAGTCTGTAAAGAACAGACGGCAGAGGAGGAGTGACGTGTGCACGTTGGACTTTTAGGTGATGGTGAAATTAAGACACTTCACTGAAGTTTCTCTGGAGTAGTTACGTAATGATGAAATGATAAAAACAACTTCATTATGGAAACGTTCCTCCTGCAGCACTGTTAGTTTTTCATCAGTGTTTGAGTCACTATTAAAAACTCACATATGTCCAGTATAATGTAATGTAATTGTGTGTGTGTGTGTGTGTGTGTGTGTGTGTGTGTGTGTGTGTGTTTTGCAGCTATGGAAGGAGCTGCGTCCTGACACACCTCTCACGGGCCGCATCTCTAAACAGTGGTGTGAGATCGGTTTCCAAGGCAGTGATCCCAAGACTGATTTCAGAGGCATGGGCCTACTGGGCCTGCATAACCTGCTGTAAGCTCGCTTCACGCTCTGCACAACGCTGATCATAGTCTAAAAAAATAAAAAACAAACAGTCGGACAGTGTTACACGTCAGTGGGATTCACAGCTTTGTGCAAAAGTTTGGGCACTTCATGCATTTTGTTGATTTTTGAACTCCTGCAGCCAAGTGAGCTTTTTCTTCAAATGTTTATGTGCTGTTACATTTCATAAACTTGTAAAACATAAATAGTAAATAGTAAATGTAGTATGTGGAATAGTTTGGACACTGACCCCCCCCCCCCCTTTGGCAGATACCGCAGCTCGCAGACCCGCTCTGCAGCAGCTGAGAGTCTTTCTGCTTCACCCACTCTTCCTGCACATCTCTCCACATTCCAGTTATTTCCAGCTGTAGTGCAACACTCAGCATGTTTCACATCCACCCACAAGGTTTTCAGTGATGTTCAGGTCGGGGCCGTTCCTAAAGCTCCAGCTTGTGTTTCTTGAAGTGGTTCGTGGTGGATTTTGTCCTGTTGCTGAAGCCAGCCTCTTTTCAGTTTCGTATTTAGTGGAAATCCATTCCTTCCTCTATCTGTGCAGTGTCTCACACACAACCAGTCAAACAGGGGTTTTTACTTCACTTCTCTGCCCTGCAGACGCACAGTTTTATCTGAAAGTTTTCTTGCTCTCCCAGATCTTGTCTTGACGTCCACAGTTCTTCTTAACTGACACTTCTGACATTTCAGAGGGTGTAAAATTCAAGCTGGAAGCACTATGACATCAGTTAGCTTCATTGTCAGATCCACAGTCAGTTGCTTAGAGGAGCAGATGGTTGTTGAGTTTTACCACGAGGTTTGAAGAGTCAGAGAATTAACCAGCTGAAATGTCATCAGCTGACTATTCCTAATGACAGTTCTTGACCTGCATTAAGTCCTAACGAGTTAATTAAGACGGAAGGACAAGGATGTCCAAACTTTTGCACATGGTACAAGTGTTTACATCTGGACTAACACATGCACAGACACATTTAGTGTCATTTAAATAAGTATTTTAGGCATAAAAAATTAGCCTTTAGACAATAAGCTCATAAGAATAATGAATAATCTCTATATGCACTGGTGTTTCCTGAATTCCTCCTCTCGTCTCTCTGCAGGTATTTTGCAGAACACGACAAGGCGACTGCTCTGCAGATGCTCAACGACTCCCTGCAACCAAAGCACAAGTACGTCAAAACCCTTCATCTCAACGTTTACCACACCATGGCCAAGTTAAAGGAATACACCAGGTTTTTTGGTGGATTGGTGTGTTCTCAGGAGATCACTGACTGCGGGGTGTTACGATCCAAACTGGGAAAATGGGATTTTTTTTAGCAGATGTAAAGCTGGTAAAACTTACCGATCTATTGTCATCTGGTGGATTCTAATTAGTTTTATTAGTATTATTTGCTGAGATGTTAACAAGCAACAACAGGGCCAGTCATCTACCACCATACAGTCAATGATTAAACCTGCATGAATTCATATTTCTTATACTAATAGTGGATGACATGTAATGTGACAGAGGTTGTTCATAGTGACAAACCCATGGAGAATTAAAACCAGATCAGCTTCACAGGCTTTTTTCAGCCTCTTTTAGGTCGTTGTTTTGGTTTTGCGGGGCACAAACTGCATCCACCTCGTTTCCAGCAGCAGGTTCAGTGAAACAGCTCTGATAAACCAACTGTACACGACCTGCCCAGCGCCAGACAGCAGAAAAATAAAGTTAGTGACTTTGTGGTGAAGAAAATTAAAACTTCTAGCAACTAAAGGACCAAAACAGAGCTAAAAGGAGAGTGAATGGATTTCATATTCATCTGGTGGCCAAAAACAAGATGAATGATGCGCGAATTGGCGACTGTTTGACAACAAGTTCACAATATTAATTCGATAAGGTGATAATATAACCAATATTTTGGTTTCCACTTGTTCCTCTGCCCCCTAGTGGCCAAAGATCAAGCAACACATCAACCAGCTTTATAATTTCTACCAGAGACTTGGTGTATCTCCTCAACGTTAAACTGCACTTTATCATCCATAACGCTGCATTTACCTCATTCTGCTTGATTATATTCATTCTTACAGCTTGATGGCTTTCACTGCATCCTCTCTTATTGACTGCTGCTGCCTCATTTCACAAATGAAGATTCTTCCTCTTTTTCTTCTTCACCTCCACCTCCACCTCTCTGCCCATGCCTGTCCCTCTGTCTTATCACATGCACTATAGGAGCACACACCGAAAGCCAAGGTACTCAATCTCCACTTTCATTCACTTGCTGTTTTGCTCCATTCATAGCTTTCTCTCTTTTTTCGGCTGATGTTTCACGCACAGTTTAAAGCTGCACCAGCTGCTCGGTTTTCATCATTGCAAACGCCCTGCTGTCTTATCAGCCTGAAACACAGCATGGGGCTGAAGCAGAGAGGGATTTCCCAGGCGCAGTGATAGTGACAGCACTGTGTCAAATTTAGGAAATTATTGAGCATTTATCAAATCAAACAATCTGTGTCTGATCTGCTTTTAAAGATTTACATCATGGACTTGAGAATTCAGAAAGTACCATAAAATGGATTAACATATTCTGGTCTTTTTGTACAGTTTAATGACAATAAGAAAAATATAGAACAACAGCAGGCTTGTCCTTTAAATGGAAACCAGGAAAAGCAAATATATACACACATATATAAAAAAATATAACATTTATTTCATTGGATCTGCCTTAAATTACAAGTGGGAATTAAGCCCTCAAACAAACTAATAAAGTTGCAAAGCGGGATTTAATAATATATAAAATCATATATAGAAAAATACATCTTTATGCTAAAATGTTGCTCCTTTGGTACAAACTTACAGTCACAATGAACCAAGAAATTACTTTAGTCTCTTGTTAGCTAAAGTTTCATGCCCTCAATATTCATTTTCAATTTATTTCCATATCAAAATCCCATTATTGTTATACTGTTGATTGAAGGTTTATCAGTCAGGATTCGTATCTTGCCTTTAATATTCATCTATTGATCTCAGACAGGAGTATATCCGTATCTATAGTGTGTTTCTATTAAAGCTGTGTGTAGTATCTAAGCTGAGAGAGTCTTAGTGCCACAGTTGTGTTGTACAGATCCCTGATGGACCCTGTAGGCAACATTAAACTCAGTAGAAATTAACTTACAGCACACCCAAAGTTGATGTAGACGGATGCTCTGAACATTAACTTTGCTTTGAATTAATAATAGAACATAGTAGCAATGGTGTAATACAATACAATCACTAAAATAAACAGAATGTGCATATTATTTTAAAGTGGATTAAATGAGTTAAACATGCAGTTCAGAGTCACTGATATAAATCAAGAGAAATCAGAGATTCAACTCGAGACTGAAACATCTGGGACTCTGAGACGAGATCATCATATTTAAGTTCATGTAAAAGAAACTAAAATGTTATTTCATTGTGACTTTAACATTTGTCTCATCCACACTGTGGTGCACGCAGTGTTGTTTCACATGTCGACAGTACATAACTCCAGTGTGTGTCCTTCACAGTGAAATAAACAAGCCTGAATGGGAACAGAAGAACCTTGACAAAGCTATCGGGTGAGTGTGAGCACATGTGCCGTGTGCAGACGTGCACGTGTGTGTGGAGGAGACTGCTGCTGGAGCTGTTTGAGTTTTGACCTCAATAAAGCAGTTACAGCAGCACAAGGACTCTGTAAAGTGGCCATCGAACCAGTGTGGGTATATTTACGCAGGAGATAGAGTGTGTGTGTGTGTGAATGTGTGTGTGTGTGTGTGTTAAGAGGCAGGAAGTGTGTTACTGCTGTGTGGTCTCCTACTCAGCCCTCTGCCTCCAGTCTGTCTCAGCTCTGATAAGCGCAGAGGACTGACTCTAAAAACACACACTCACAGTCGCACACAGCTCTCCTGTACCCGCACAGTGTTGTGAGGACACTCCAGCTGAGCAGCAAGCCGTAAACTGCAAGTCATTGACTGTACTGTCGAGTCAGGAGACGGTAGTGTTAACACTAAAATGTATGTCTTTTAAAATTAGATTTCTTTCTAATAGTTTTAGTTTTCTAGCTCCTAGCTCTAGCAAACACAAAAACAGGTCCATACAAATAAACGTCTTTATTTTTTATCACCTTCCTCCAGTTATTCTTTTGCCATCGTGGGCATCAACATCACAGACCTGGCCCACTCTCTGCTGGTGAGCGGAGCCCTGAAGACTCACCTGTACAACGTGGCCCCGGAGATGCCCAGCCTGCTGCACTTCCAGCAGACTTTCTGTGAGTTGGACGGATTGAGATACGCTGTGTGTATGTTGTGTTGTGGTTGTGTTGAAAAATGTTTAATGGAGCCATGATCCAGCAGCAGACCACGGTTTGGAAGAGCCCGTGGTCTACTCTTTTAGCTTCTTGATTTGGCCCCTTAGACGCTCTACAGATCAATCACGTGATCGATCGATTTTGAAAATATGTTTTCCCTTTTCCTCCGTGACAGGTTACCTGATGCAGGAGTTCCACCGTTTCTGGATCGAGGAGGATCCCAGCGACATCATGGAGTTCAACCGGGTCCGCTCCAAGTTCCACCGGAGGATCCTGCGGCAGCTGAAGAACCCGGACATGGCTCTGTGCCCCCACTTCTCCGCCTCCGACCTCCACCTGGTCAACCTCTAAACACACACTCCTGACTCCTGTGACACCCCCCCCCCTCTCTCACTGAGCCCTTCATACCCCCCCACAGAGGTCTCCCCTGGATGTCTGACAGGCCAACTGAAAATCAGAAAATCAGAAAACCCTTTGCACTCACATAGATGGTTCCTCAAACAGCTGGACACATCTGGGGAGGCGCTCTCCCTTGTCTGCTCAGCCCGACTCGTCCCAGTAAACGTCATGTCGCGTCACTGCCAACAGCTCATTCAACCACTGCACACACACACACTCCCACACACACACACACACACACACACACACACACTGCCTCTACGCCCTCACTGCAGCGTCAGACCACCAGCATCAGAGATGACCATAGCGATTGTAGCTGTGCATGAGGAGGCTGCACCACACCATCACAACAGACTCATTCTTATCTGTTGCTTTAATGATTCATGACGATTGTATCACAGCCGTTACGCCTCAGTTCACAACCTCTCTGCTTATTCTAACAACTAACCAAATTTACTTTCTCTACCAAAAAATCCCTGTTAGATTGCGACTTAGTGATCATCAGCTCAGAAGATTCTGGCAACGAGCTGGTCGGGCTACAGGACGAAACGTTTTATATCGGAATTGAAGAGCTATAGATATATAATATAAGTTTAAATGAAGAAATGCAGCTGGCGCCGATTCAATCAAAAGCAATCAAACCATCCAGGGCCAGTTCATCTCTTAACTTTGTCTGTATTAGGTCATCGCTATAGATTGTACTGTACTTACTATGTCGCCATGACATCAACACCTAAGACTTCTACTTCTTGCCAAAATATCGAATGTGGAGAACTTATAATCACAGCAGCGGTTTGTTTCTCGTGAGCTCAAATTTAAGTTTTGTAAACCTGCTAAATGATGCTCATAGATATCTTAAAAACTCCTTCCTGTATAGTTGCATTGCAGATATTAAATGTGTAGCATTCGGCAGCAGTTTGGATACTAAAACCTTTTTTTTTTAATTTTCCTCATACGTATTTACATCCAGAAAAAAAACCATCAGAAAATATTTTATGAACATTGTTTAACAGGTTTGCAAAAGCTTTTGCCTTTGATTTGACCCCATGCATATAATTCTGTTATGAATGTTCCTCACTTGCTCACTTTCACGATTGTTTGATTCTCTTTTAATTCATTGAATGTGACACTGTGTTCACTGTTGTATCAGCCAAAGCAATAATTTACATTCATTTCACTGCACATTTCTCTACATGTGTTTATTTTGCACCACGCGTGCCTGAGTGTTTGTTTTTGCTTTCTAACTCAGAGCCGGAATGCTAATCAGTTCACGCAGGAGCTGCTACATGTAGCATTTGATAGAGGTAAAATATCCTCACACTCATTTTTGATAAATTAGTGTAATTACTGTAAACAAATGCCCCCACTAGTCTGTTTGGCAGGAGAGCTGCTGAATTGCTTTTCTAAGACGCTGTGAGGTCTCAGGTGTTTCAGTCAACTTATTATTATTATTATCTAAAATGCTACACGTAGCAGCTTTAAGGAGCATCTGTGACAAAAGCAACAACCAACATAAAAGACATTAAGTGTAAAGTTGCTCCATAGAGAATGAATCAGGAGCTAAATGCTAAAACAGAGGAGAGTTGACAGCGGAAAGTTAAAACGCTGAAGATGGAGGCGTTGACCAGCCAGTCAAACGCACCAGCTTCCTAATTCTCTTTAAGAAATGACTTTTTAATTAACGTGATATTAGTACATGTCACTGTCAACTCCATCTGTAGACGGCCTGCTTTCTCTCTTTTAATTATATTTCTTTATTTTATCTTTATTTTACCAGAAAGGCCTCACTGTGACTAAAAGGGACGAAACAGAACAAATCACAAAATTATAATTAAATTTTAAAAAAAAAGCAGTTTTACATCCAGTTCATCGTCTGTGGAGCATCAGTTTGATTGGCATGTCGGCTCTGAGTCACACGTTTAATTTCCACCGAATGACAAATGAACAAAAGCCCAAATGTGACACACGTGCACGTCTTCACAGCAGCGTTGCTTCTCATGAACACGTGACCACTTGTATTTAACATTCAACGAGCGCCGGCGTCGCGCGTGGCGCTCTGACAGCTCTGACAAATGTTCCCATCAGAAAAAAAAAACCCAAAACGTACGATATTATTTTTCTGCCATGCTTGCACTGTTGATTGTGTTTTAATAGTACTGAATATCTTTGTCTCATTGAAGTGAATGTCAATGCTTTCTGTCAGTATTATGCAGCTGTTTACTTCAGTGAATGTCACTGCTGGTTTCATCTCCTGCTTGCATTTGGTTTTGCTTTGCTATGGTCAGCTTTGCACTACTGTAAAAAAAAAAAAAATGAAAATGCAGTTTCCTTTATGATAGTAAATCAGTAATTTGTGGTATTGGAGTACGAGGGCCAGTGTGTCCCATGATACTGTAGATGACTTTAGATACATGCTGCTGTATATTCTGCTTTGAAACTGCCTATAAGACCGCAAAACTGCATGATGGTATTTTCGTTGTCACAGCTCCGGCGTTCTGTATTCTACAGTAAAGCCTAAAGTAAACCTAGATATTGTAACTGTGCGCTTCATTTGTCTGTGCTGTACTTTTTGAGACCACAATAAAAACTAAATGTCGGTTAAAAAAAAAATTTAGCTGATTATTTATCTTTAATTTCTGAATGTTCTGTTTCTTTTGTGTGTGATGGAAGATTCTCTGCAAATGAGACCAATAAAAACTATGTTGGAAATAAAGAAGAAATATTCCTTTACAAGTTACCGTCTTCCATTCAAACGTTTACTGTACATTATCATCAGCTAAATGTACTCAAAGTATCTAAACTAAAACTACTCATACTACAATAACATTTCCAATAAAAACATCAAATGTTTTTTTAATGTTAAATCTTAGTAACTACAGCTCTCAAATAAATGTAGTGGAATATAAAGAACAATATTTCCCTCTGAAACGTATCAGAGGTAGAATGGAATTACTCAAATAAAGTAATTACCATAAGTACTGTACTGAGTAAATATATGCAGTTACTTTCTACCACTGTTTTACGTGTGAGTGTTTTAACATCTTTTAACTCATTGTTTCTGTTTTATGTTCTGCAACTTCTCTGCTTTGGTTCAGTGTAAACTGTAAACCCACCGCACACGAGCTGCCCAGCACTGAACAGCAGACAGACAAAGTTACATGGAGAAGATAAGAGACAGAGAGTTTATTATTCCCACAGGAGAACTGCAGTTAGAGAGCAGCTGGTGAACATGGTGGAACAGCTGGTTAGTTTAGCAGCTAAAGAGCCAAATATTTCCCTGCTGGAGTTCGCGGAGGCCAAGAGCAGCTGAAAGGAGAGTGGATATTGGACTTGCATTCATCCGATGACCAGAAACACGGCTCCGAGTGAACGATAACTTTACTCTGTATCTGCTGGATGTTTCAATAAAGCAACTGCTACAACAAAACAATGAGCTAAAAGAGGCTACAAAGCTCATCTGAGCGAACAAATCAGTGAACTTAGATACGTGATTTTGTATTACAGTATATTATTATTATTATCATCATTATGAGTGCAATGCTTTGGACAAGTGAAGGATCATAGTATCATCATAACAGTGTTCTTCCTTCAACAAAACTTCCATATGTGAGTGAACAAACAACGTGCACTGACATCACAACTATGTTTCATGAATCCCAACGACCAGCAGAGGGCAGTAAACACACATTCCTACCATTTTTGAGAAGCGTATTTAAAATTTTACAAATAAGTAGTTGTAATGATATTGTCAAAATCATTTATAGGTTATTAAAGTTATTATTATTTGATTGTTAATAAAATTATTTAGTTCTATTTCAGTTATTATCATGACCATAAACCGACTATTTGGAGCTGTAGGAGCTGTAACTGGATGTGCTTTTCCTTGTGTGTGTGTGTGTGTGTGTGTGTGTGTGTGTGTGTGTGCGTGTGTGTGTGTGTGTGTGCGCTTGAGCCACAAACTGCAGAGTATAAAGTTAGAGGCAGTAGTGTTTGAGGAAAGCAGCGCCGCCTACAGGTGAGAGGTCAGTAAAGGGGAATACAGGTGCGAATGGCTCCGCCCCTGCTCATTAACAGGATCAGCTGCAGGTGGTGGCTGTAGGAAGACGCCGTCGAGAAGTAAAAGTTCTCAACCGCTAGAAATGAGTAGAAATATAAAAGGAAACAGATGGGTGTGTTTTTTAAATATCTTTTTAATTTAATTTCTTCACTACTGCACCGTGACTGAAATAAAGCAGCTTTGCATCTCATATACCTTTTTGTTTTTAAACACATCCCATGTTTACCAGAGATCTCCCTCGTCAGAAAGTAGAAACATGTTTGGAAATTTTCAGTTTTATTGGAAAGTTTTTTTTTTCTTTTTTTCTATTGGATCTTCCGTTACTAAAATTCTTATTTTTGTAATTTTCCTCTTTATGAATTACCAGTAGGACTCGTATTCTTATCAAACAGGCATGGATTTTAACTCGTTGTAACCATGGCAACATATTTCCTGTTTGTTAGAAAAGTTTCTATCTGTTCTGTTATCAGAAGAGTTGCTGTCACTGCATGTTGTCCACAGCAGATCTGGTGTAAACAAACTTGACAGTAACAAGTTTTAATAATATTTGATTTAGTTGCATTTGGAGTCGATTTACTGAGATTTACACAGGATCGTGAAAAGAGACTCTTTTTTTTCCCTCTGGAAAATTATAAACACAACATTTTTGTAGCTAAGTAAATGTTTCACCGCTCATAAAGCTGCAGACTGTGACCGTCTTCAGTTTACCAGGTTCAGAGAGTTGCTGTTATATTCAGCTCTGACACAGGTGGCTTATACAAGGACCATTTATAATGTTGACAGCTGATAATGGTGCTTTCAGTCATCAGCCAGGGGAGATGTAATTCATAAAAGTGACTGATTCAGTTAGTGACACTGATTGATTGTTAAAGTTTTGTTTATATATCTGATGAACATATCTCTAGTGACTGTGAAGGCCATG